CACGTATAAAATACACAGAATAATAAATTATCAGAGTGAATTGATTTAATTATTTATAGAACCGGCATTGGATGCACAAGTTGAGCAGAGACAACAAATTCCAATAGTTAACTTAATTTTATTGTTTTTTTCATGGTCGGTCTTGCAGTCGATGTTTTAAATTTTAAATAATATAATAATGTGAAACCTCTATGCTTGCTCTACTCTGTGCACTCTAGGGATGGTGTGATACAAAAAGAAAGATTTACGATTATCTCAAAGCCATCTGAATCTGATAACAAGCTACAATGTTCCTTATCTGTAACGTTATAAGAAGTAAGTTGGCCTGGAGGTGGTTACCACAAGGCCTGTCAGGCCGGTTCTCATTAGGCAAGTGTATAATAGTCGCGAGCGTTTGTCTGTCTGTCATTGTGAATTAAAGCTAAGCTGTTGATTTGTACGGAAGCTCGGCAAACATAAGACGACTGATATTTCAACCCATTCGACGAAAAGAGTTACAGTGTGAAGAATTACATTTATTACTCTCTCATAATGTGATGAAGAGAGTTACGTCTCTTAAAAGCTCTTTTAGACGACGGAAAGAGTTACATTTCTTAAGAGATCTCATAGAAGATATAACTCTTATTTTCGAATTTTTAAAATTAGAACATTAGAAGGCTTTACACTAACTTGACATTTTAAGGGGGGGGCCCCTTAAAATGTCAAAAAAATGTTCCAGATCCTTCCCTTTAGTTGTTTTGTATTTTTTCTTTTATGGCATTTTCTAGATCTAAGTAGGTTTTATATATTTCGTGATAGAACTCGACGACTCGACCATAGCAGCGTCTCTGTCATCGGGTCATAGGGGCTAGAGAAAGTGGATTCGCTCTGAGGCGATTCCATAACGAACTTCAAAAATTTATAGAACTGACAATACCTTTTGATAAGTCACGCGACAGGCTCATACATTTTTGAAATTCGCTATGTATTCGCTTCCGATATTTTCCATGCCTTTTACCATTTTCCGATACAACTAAAATACTTGCAATCGTGAAAAGCTGAATGTCCATTGAATTATTTATATACAAAAGCGATTTAAGCGCCCCCTACTGTGTTCATCTTGTAACTTTACAAATTACCTTATTTGAACCAGATCGTGCATTTCACGACGAACATTTCATTTAAGGAGTGAAAGTATTCCATAAATTTATTATATAAATATTATTTAATATAAGTTCAATAAACTTATTTGATATTAAACCTATTCTCACGTCTTTTATCTTCATAATGATAGACATTCTAGATAATTCTAACTATATCGGGCAAAGAAATCCAGTCGTCTGACATGTCTAGATATCAAATCTAGACCTTATCTCTTAATTAGCGTTTATATTTGGTGTAGACTAGCACGCTTCTGTTATAGCTTGCGCGTATAATATTGGAACTACGCCTTATACGTCGTATAAGAATTTTAACCAACTAATTAACGTTGTCGTTGTGTAAGTATAAACATTGTTTAAAACTTTATTGAAAAAAAGCAAGGCTTGTGTACTTTGTAACTAAATTCATATAAATATAACAGACATTTAAATACTCATTTAGATAATATCGATGAAAAAAATACGGATGAATTGATAAAGCTTCATAGTATAAGTATACAGTTTAGTCACATATGTTAGAGTTTACCTACTTACGTAAGAGCAAACGACCACCTGAAATCGCTGAAATAACAAAGCAACCGTAGTCCTAAGACATACGCAATTGCAGATGCGTTGCCTACCTTTAATCGACGTAGAAGGGCATGCACAGAAAGAATATTTTCCCTTGCATCTTTTTCTAATACGGAAGATTGTGGAAAGAGAAAGAGGACTAAAGTTAGGCCTCCGGTCCCAAACTAATCAGACTGAAGTTGGCAATTGCTTCCACTTTAAACGTGTCTTCTGTGTGGTCGTGGTATTCTAGCGGGTGATCTGGACAATGTGTGCGAAGATGTTAAAGCGTGTCCTACTACTGTTAAACTGTAGTGCAAACTAACTTAACCTAATATGTATGACTTGCGTTGTTCTTTAACTATTCCTGTGTTTATTAAATGAAATATGTTTGTACATATAGTTATTACATATATGTATGTACAACATAAGGTCGCTAAGCCAGTCTTGTCAAGATTTGTGTGCAATTGTTTAGGTAGAAACAAATCTAGGTCAACGTGTCTTGATTGGTCAGTGTGCGGTCGTGTGCTGTAAGCTCTGACCAATCACTTGTTACACTTGTTTTTTGTATCTAGTGTCGGTAATTATGAAGGTTAAGTAACGCTAAGTTTATAGTATGATTAACTTATCTGGCCCGTGAGTAAGTTAGTTTTATCATAGGACAATAATTGCATATAAAAATGTTTTGACATATGTCAAGACTACAGTCGGCCATCTCAATGGGTGGCAATCCACAACAGTGGGATTTTTGCTAAAATTTCTCGCACAGCCGTGTTGTTTGAAAACCGCTGCGACTTAGTATCCCAAGAAGCGAGCATATCATTTCACGGTTGCCCTGGTATTGCAGATGTCCATGAACACCTCGCTGTTCCCGCTACTCGTTTGCCCTATCCTCTTATAATAAAATCGGATATTGACAAAAATATTGTAATGCAACCTGCATCTATGAAGAAATTCAAAGATGTGTGAAGTCAACTCGAAATGAACCAGTGCGGTTGACTATGGCCTAGTCATCCCTAACATAAGGTAGGCTCGGAGCGCCTCAATGATCGGACGTATAGTGATCTTTTATAACAATTAAATAGGTTTCCAGCAGATAGACGATAAAGATAGAAGAATAATTATTCATCACATGATAAATTACTATAACAGAAAAGGTTGCGCCTGCGCAGTGCGTACGCGTCAAAACGCAGCGGGGAACCTTTGTAATATAAAGCTAAGATTATTTATTAAACTATCAAATCATTTCGTAGTAAATGTGAGACTTAGCTATGTTACTTTTAATTTTAACTTTGTACATAGAAACATCAAGAAAGAAATATATAATAAAAATATTTATATTTATCAAATTGTATATTATTTACACATTTCACTGGCTGGAAATATTTATTGTCTGTGGTTTTATTTTGGAATGTTATTGTTTAAATAGATGACATTTCAGTTTGTAATTAAAAGTATAAAATTAAAATTGTTTAGATGGGTTTGTTGTGATTTCTCATTCATATTGAATATACGGGCGAATAACTTCGTTTAATTGTACGTTCTATCATCATCATCAACTCACTATAAGTCCCCACTGAGGTGCTCGGAGCCTACCCTAAGTTAGGAGGTCAACCACGCTAACACAGTGCCGGTTGATTTCACACATATGTTTGAATTTCTTCTCAGATATGTACAGCATCACGATGTTTTCCTTCACCGTAAGAACGTCTTGCTTGGTGGTGCAGGTAAAAGTTGAGGGCATCAGACAATGAGGAAGATCGCCTATGAGGCGGACCGACCAAATCAGAGCGGCTGTGGATGTTCCCCTACACCAATGTACAAAAAAGGCAGCGACTAGGGAGGAATGGCGGCGCCTGGTAAAGTGGGTCACTGATACTTGATGACCACGACCAGTCTGACAAGACTGTAACGACGAAGAAGAAGAACGTCGGATATCTAAATCGAAAATCACATTGGTAAATGACAGGATTCGAACTCCGGACCTGCAGATTACAAGTCAAAGGCCCCTGAGTCACCGACTCTCTATGAGCACAACAAATTACAGATCTATCTATTGGTATACTTTAATGATAGATTATGTACAATTAGTGAGTGATGGATCCTCTAACCGTGCAGGATGCATTATTCAAGATTACCTTACATATGAGAGAGAGATAAAACATATAATTTACACATTAGTGAAAGCGAGAGAGAAACCTTCAGATGCGTTGCTAATGGGCCATTAAACTGGCGGTGTACTAAAGAGAAAGAGCAAAAAGGATTTAATGTGCCTATGCCCATGTGACGGGTATAAATACCTGCTTTATGCTTCCTTCTACAATAACTGTGTTCTTTGATTAAATATTTTATAATATTAGGTGGCAAAAGAGCAAGCGGCCAACTGTGTGCGCCGAAATAGCAAAGCGACCTTTGCCCATAGACATTCGCAATTACAGTTTTTCCTTTCCATGCATCCTCTTAACTGGAATATCCACTTACCATCACACTTACCATACTTTCTTTATAAGACAAGGGAAGGGATAGAAGACTAAATTTAGGCCTCCGGTAGGCACACTCGTCAGATTGTAGTTGGAATAGCTTCCACTTGACGACTGTCTTCTATGTAGTCGTGGTGTTGCTATGGGCGAAGCCAATTCGTGCAACAGATGTTGTTACTGACTTTACTAATGTTAAATAATAAAAAATAATGATTTCCAAAGAGCTCCAAATGGACAACTCCGTGGAAGACGTGACGGGGACGTAGGGATGGGAAGTAAAGTTCGCAAATTGATCTTAAAATTTCAAGAGGACATTTAGAAGAAAAGTTTGCGTATTTCGAAAATTAATTTCTTGTAATTATTGCTTTAAATTTTATTATTGCTTTTTATTATTATAAAAGTATTTATTAAAGACGAAATTCTTAAAATTGACCTAAATTACATGAACTCATTATCATGCATGCCTGTGAGCGAAAAATATCTCGAAATATTTTATTATATCAAATTACATTGAATCGAAAATAAATGCGATTTTATTGAAGCAAAAACCTTCCATAAAACGATCAATTTAAAACTCTAATAATGATTTTAAAACCTCATCGATTGTAATAAAGTTCAAAATGGAGTGTATTTTAATTCAATAGCAAAAACATTTCGGCATCTTGTATTGAAAGTTGTATTTAATAATATTAATTTAGAGTTTATGATGATCATGTGCTGAGAATATGTGGTAATATAGTGTTGGGCCATTAAAACCGCGGATACATAGGCGGAGCGATTTATAATATTATTTCAAATAAACAAATCACAATAACTACTGGTAATTACTAACCTCATCTTGAAAGGTTTTATGAAGAGATTCCTTGGTGTATTTCTGCTCTCCCTGCTTCAGTATTGCCGAGCATTGCTTCAAGAGAACTAATCTTCTTCTCTCTCTTGCACTCTCTTCTTCCATGAACGATCTTCTATGTTCTCTTCTCGGAGCTCCTAACAAATCTTTCGGCATATCCAATTTATTTTTATCATTATTAACTCCATTTTCATCCATTTTGAGGTTATGATTTTCTTTCGCGCCATCGGAACTGTCAACGTTTATTGTTATTTTTTCTTTGATATTTAAAACGTTGTTAATATGTTGTTCATTTTGTTTATCGGCAGCCATATTTGTTTCTATTCTTTATTTTTTTTTTCGATTGAATTTTGACACTTCACATGTTCTTTGAGGTTATGTTGCAAAATATTCTCGACCGCTTTGAAAAGGTTAACTATTTGTATGTTTGAGGCAATTATAAGTGTATTAGTGAAAAAGGCAATTAATCTTCCAAACAACTTGAATTAAAACTCGACTCGTGTCCGTAACGAAATTAAACACGCAACTTATGATGTAATGCACTAAAAATAATTACATTCTTCGGTTCCGTATTATATTTATTAATTTAACCGTTTAACAGCTGTCAGTTTTAACCCCTTCTGGCTTGTACACAATTAAGCTTTAAAGATTTCTTACTTATTAAAGAAAATATATTTATGAAATGGTTTTGTCGCACGCTCACATTGCAAAAAGAATTTAAAGAATTAAAAAACAAATCAACATAAAAGAATAACAATTGTTAATTTAATAATATAATATAATAAATGCGAATGTTTAGACGGATGGATGTTTTTTAGAACGTATCTTCAGAACGGCTACATGGATTTAGCTGAAATTTGGTATAGATGTTGAATATTAACCCAGAAGAACACATAGACATACTCATTACGTTTTTTTATTATTGCGTGGACGAAGTCCACGGGCGACAGTTAGTTAGAAATAAATGAAAAATCAAGGGGTTTTTTAATACATTTCAAGTTAGGTTATTAAGAAAACTTGGTCTTTGTGTGAAATTAAATTTTACTGATTTTTTTTGTATAAATATATACGGATCTCTAAACTAAATAAAATTTAGACGATAATTATATATGAGAATGGACGAAGACAAGTGAAAGTAGAAAAACATCCAGTTTTTTCTGTACTTGTTTAGAATATGATATAATAAAAAAATCAAATATTTTGTTTATGATACGTTAAGACATAGATTTCTACATAAACAGCTGACTTATTTGAATTTATATTCATAGAGTTCTAGAACATATAACAATTTGTAAAAGTTCAACGAAACTTCAAATATATGAATGATTTTTACTACAAATTTTGTTACAAATGTATTTTATCCTTGTCGTTTCTTTTATTCAGTTTCAAATGAAAATAAAGAAAATAATATGCCTTTATGCAGGTTCTTGATGGTTGGATCATATAATGTCAGACGAATTAAATATTTATAAACATAAAAAAAAGTAAAAAAACACAAAACAAAAACATATTGAAGATTTATTTAACTAGTTTCCAAATTTAGTATTATATTAATTTTGATTGAAACAAAAGTTGAAAAACAACTTTAGTATACATCAACAATTTTATACTAACAAGAACAAAAACTTTAGACTTAAGATTCGTCCGTCTGTCCGCAGAATTCTTGTACAGATATTGCGCGGTATTATTCCAAATAGAAAAAAACAGGTGCTTTTGTTTCCAATTAAGTGGCACACTAATGGACATTTAACCTTTACTAAGGAAATCCCTAAGTGTTGATATTCATCATAATAAGCTCATTAAACGTCCCCACCGAGGGGCTCGGAGCCTACCCCAAGTTAGCGGTGATTAGGTCATAGTCAACCACGCTGGCCCAATGCGGGTTAACTTCACACATATCTTTGAATTTCTTCTCAGATATGTGCAGGTTGCATCACTATTTTTTCCTTCACCGTAAGAATAAATGTACCGTCGGATAAATGTACATATGTAAATCGAAAACACATTGGTATATGGCGGGATTCGAACTCAGGACCTGCAAATTACAAGACAAGTGCTTGACCCCTGAGGCAGCAACGCTCAATGTTTATATTGTAAACCATCAATAGATTGTAATTGTACATACAGTGTCGTAGATAATTAGAAAGTCACGTAACTATTTACTATTTTGATGAAACAAATTTTATCTATATATAACAGAATATCAACATACTATATTCATATATATTATTGTATATTGCGAAGATTCACAGCAAACATTAAGATGTTAATTAACATAACTTGTTTTTTACCTTTTTAAGTTAAATATAAGTTATTCCAACTTATATAATTCCAGTCGCTAATCATTTAAAATACGTGACTTGAATATAACATACTGTGATAATATAACTATAGTAATATTATTATTTAAATTAAATAGCATGTTTTATAATAAACTAGCAGCCGCCTACGACATCGTCGACATAGAAGACAAGAAAAATTACCATATTAGTATGTTTTTTTTGACTATTTACATAAGCTACTTTCCCGTCAAAGTCCTGAGAGTTGAGCAGATACATTATATTTGCGAAATATATTTTTTTACAAACACTAGTATTTTATTAATTGTTTTGTAGTTTTTGATATTAAGGTAAAAATATAACAATGTTATTTTTATATAGAGATAAATTGAATAAACATATGTATAGTCATCCCTTTCATCCACACTGAAGAAAACTGAGATAGCAATATGTTCCTGTTTCGGTAGAAAACTTACGATTCGGCACATTCATGTTATCGGCATTTTTTGCAAACAAATAATAAACTTTTCTAACGTAAAGTGTGTACTATAATATCAAATCGAATGGATGTCAAAAATTAAATATTTTACTATATTTATCAAATTATTTATTGAACAATCGTATACAAGCCAGCTGGGATTTAAGACTACAACTGTATGTAAACCTACACTTATTTCTCACATCGCATCACTTGAGTTATTCAAGTTTATAAAAAAATCCTAATACATTAGCGGACGAAATCAATATTCAGATATTTGAGATGTACTCAAAAAATAATCTGAGTAATTTAGACAAAATGGAATAAATAAAATACTATCGTAAAATAATAGATGGTGTTTTTCAATTCTTATTATGATTAGTAAAAATAATTCGAATGAAATAAAAAATCTAAATCGATTTTTAATTTCCGTTGATTTTAAAGATGCGCAAAATATCACATTAAACACTCACAACTCGTATAACTTATGACTTTATAAACTTGATGAACTTAGATGTGACTTAGATGCAACTTAGATGTAAGTAAGTGGTGTCGCGCGCGCTCCGTCACCACCAGGCGATCACTGTGGTGGTGTTGTGGTGGTGACAGTACACGACTTCAAACCCGTTTGGCGCGATATAAAACAATCTTGAAGCATTTATCTATAGTTTAAATATTAATATCAATAATATTTAATAACAGTTTAACATATATATGTCATAATATAATAATCCTGTAAAGACTTGAAAAGGTTTTAACACTTCCATAATAAAGAAAGAAAAAATATTTATAACCTCACACATCTCATGAAACAAATTCTGTCAGCCGTCACATCGAAATTTATTCCCTCCTTACTCATATCCTTTTATCATAAATTCCATCCATATATTGTAAATATACAATTTTGATGTTCACCTCGAAATTCGCGCGCATTTCCAATCAGCTTTTTCAAATTGTCAACGCCATCTATTGGAGAGTAGCACAATTATTTTGTAGTTTTCGTGTTTATCGCGACTTACTTTCATTCAAAGTATTTGTTTTCGTAATTATGTAGTCTTTTTTTACAATCAGATAATTATAATCGTGACGAGGCAACTTACATTTTCGATTTGTAATTAACTTTCATTTAAATCATTTCGAATAAACATTTTTTCGCGAGACTTAATTTTATTTACATAGTTACAAATTCACAATAATTTTTGGAAAGAAAAAATGTTAAATAATATTTTTTTTAAAACTTGAATGTTAATTGCTATGAAACTAAACATAAAGTTTGACATGAACTTTAACTTATATTACATATGCGCGCTCAATGTCTTAACTTAATTAAGTTGCCAAGTGATCATGTAGACGCGTTACATGTCATGTGTTGACCTTCTGACGATAATTATTGACCCCTAACGTTGAGAATTAGAAAGCGATCTGATACGTAACATATAAAACTAATCAGTCTTATTTCAACAAGTGCCAGCAGTTTTTGTTTACATCAATGTTTCTAGTCATGTCTGTAAAGAGATTTTCACGTTATCTTACTAATATTATACATATTTGGATGGATGTTAGAAGGTATCTCCAGATCGGCTGAAATTTGGCATAGATTTAAAACCCACTCTGGAAGAATGCATAATCTACTAACTACGTTTTTTTTTTAATTCGCGTATCGAGTAATATAAGTCGCGAGCAACAGCTAGTAGGCTTATATGTATTCATTAAAATGACCTGCAAATCGAAAGCTATATTTTACTAAACACTTGATACCAGGGGAAGCATAGAAAAGGAATATTTCAATCTTTATTTCTTCAATTAGACTCCGGCACGTGAACTGTTCAGACTACACGCAGAATAACTCTCACTCTTGTCTTCTGTGTGGTCTGTCCGGAGGAGACGGCGTATTCATACTAAAGATGTTGTTGCGAGCTCAACCACAGTACCATTGTTAAAGTGTGTAAATTATATAGGACTGTATACTATACAAATCGTAGTCGGACTTTCCCAGCGACAAATATCTATACATTTTCCTCATACGTCATCTCGCATTATTCTTTTAAACTATTACGTCTTTATTTATGAATTAGAATTTCCTTTATCAGTGTACTTTATACCTTTTCGATTGATAAACTAACCATAATATAGAAAAATAAACTTATATTACTTGTTCGAGTACTAAATAATGTATAATACTTTTATTATTTAAGTAAAATGAATAACAATTTCAATTTCAAAAATGTATTAAATCTCTCAAAAGTTACCTTTTTTATTTTACTTAAAGAAATAAACAGATGAGTGTATGGTTTTCCTGTACAATAATGAATCAGATTGTATGTACTTTGTTTGATACTACAGTATATTGTTGTGTTTGTCAGACATTCAGTTTGTCCCGCGCTTTCATCATGTCCAGATGTCTGCTTCCCTGTCTGCTAGCATGTCTTATCTCCTCTGTCTGGACCGCAGACCAAGGAGATGGATGTCAAGGTCAGTGAATAATTTAAATTTAAACAGAGAATATACTTTTGATAACTCATACATACTCATAATACGAGAATATATAGAAATAACTCCTCTCTCCGGGATTCCAATGTGTTTTATACCGTAAAAAACTTACAAATTCCTAGACGTGTTATGTCTTTGAACCTCGAATATAATAAATATTTTAAAATATGATCCAGTAATCATGCATTTTAGGTTCTCAAGCCGAACAATTCCCTGTTGTGATGACCCCGTCGGGCCCCATCCGAGGGTCCATGATGCAGACACGGCGCGGGCGGGCCTTCGAGGCCTACCGGGGAATCCGATACGCTGAGCCTCCTGTCGGTGAACTAAGATTTCAGGTATGTACAATAGATATTTAAATATTGACGTTTTTTCTAAAGATTGACTTCGATCCATAGATCGCGTCAACCCTAATCAATAAACTTTAAACACCCTGTTGTGTTGTGTTATGACCCCCAGCCACCAGTTCCCATCATGTCATACAATGAAAAGGTGAATGCGACTACGGAAGGTCCCGCCTGCCCCCGGCCAGCGCGCCAGGGCTACTACCTAGATGAAGACTGCCTCAGAATTAATGTCTACACGCCAAGCCACACAAGGTAGGATATTTAAAAGGTGTTTGTAATTAACTAAAATAATTTCATAAACAAAGAACATAAATTTTTAAAATAAAATTTCTTTGGACCGAAGTATTTTATGATTTTGCTCCTATACGTTTACAAGTTAAATTTAAATTGTCCAAAAAATGTGGAACGCTTCACGATTTTGCGTGTCATCCTTGCGCAGGGGCCATGCTAATCTTCTCTGTATCGTTCCAATTTTAGTATATGTACTGCCGAAGCAAGTACACTAACTTTACTTCTCCGAGCGTATATATGCAGACGGAACACAAAAACTTTGATAGCGTGTGTTAGGACGCTCTTTTTGTTAATTTTATAACTCTGCTTTTAATCGTTAAAAAAATTACTTTAATTTAATAATTTGAAACGTATTATTTGTAATTTAATTTAGCTTATTGTATTAATTTTTTGAATTAAATTATAAAATACATGAAAATCATTTTGAAATAATCTTGACGCCATCTATCGATAATTTTAGAAACCGAACGTTAATTAACCATTTTTATTTTTTAATTAATTCTAGTTACATTCGTGCAAGTCATTGATTTTGTTATTGAGTTTTAATTTTCTTTATTCGTAATAATAAGTAAATAAAAAAGAGTAAGTTTACATGAATAATGAATTTGAAACATTTGAAATATGAAGAGTTGTGCGCCATCTATTGGACATTTTAGAAATTCCCGATTTTGATGCTTGGTTGTTTCCAAGAAATACTAATAGATGTCAGTATTTTCCAAAGCTGAAAATAAAAAGAGGCGGCTATTGACGAAAAATAAAAGCTATAGAGTATAACATTTTTATAAATTCCAACAGATGGCAGGCATATAATTCATATGCCTGCCATCTGCAGATGTTTTGTTAAAAATTGTTGCTGAAAAATAGCAACAGTATTCATGGTATAATTAAATAAATTAATTTAAAAAATGTACTGAATTAATCAAAATCATTCCTCTTAAATAATCAACAATTAATATATGCCGTGCTTTCAGTCCTAGAACTTGATAAATATCTTTATTGATCAACGGCCTAACACACGCTATCAAAGTTTTTCTATTCCGTCTGCATATATACGCTCGGACAAGTAGAGTTAGTGTACTTGCTTCGGCAGTACATATACTAAAATTGGAACGATACAGAGAAGATTAGCATGGCCCCTGCGCAAGGATGACACGCAAAATCGTGAAGCGTTCCACATTTTTTGGACATATTGCCATTGAGTTACTTATAGTTTGAGCTTTTGACCAATATGAGTAATATTATTTCCTCTATCTAGTTTCACAATTCGAAACATTCTAACTTAGAATCTACAAAAATAATCTAGGTACTGAGTATTGTGTTTATTTGTGTCATTGCACCTTGCAGTGGTCAACGTTTACCTGTGGTGTTCTACATCCACGCGGGAGGCTTCTATGTATTCTCCGGGCGCAGTGATGTGGCGGGTCCGCACTACCTGCTGGACCGAGACATTGTTCTCGTCACCATCAACTACCGTCTCGGCTCACTAGGTAATAACTACTCTGCAAAACTCTTCGACATTTTCTTATAAAAGATAAGTAAATGTATACGTCAAGGGAAGTTGTTTGATGACGTATCTTTTAACTGCAAGTATCCTGAGTCAGGCTTCCTGTGTACGGGCGACGAGGTGGCACCGGGCAATAACGGGTTCAAGGACCAGGTGGCGGCGCTGCGCTGGGTGCGTCGCAACATCGCTGCGTTCGGCGGCGACCCCGACCTCGTCACCATCACCGGGTGCAGCGCGGGCTCACATAGCGTCTTCTTACACATGTTATCGCCAATGTCCAAAGGTCAATCACACAAATTATATATTATCTTCCTACCAAACCCCGATCTTTAATAAATCCGTACTAATTTTCACCTTGCAGAATCCACATTACATAACTAAAATATTACAATCTTGACATTTAATTCCAGGTCTCTTCCACCGAGCAATAAGCATGAGCGGGTCTCCAATAGGCAGCTCGCTCAGCCCGCACCACCTGAAGAGCCTCGCCGTGCGCCAGGCCCAGCTCCTCAATTGCAGCACCACCAGCTCCACGGAGATCATCGACTGCCTCAAGACCAAGAGTTGGAGAGATATCGGTTACTCCTTGCGAGGATTCTATGTGAGTAAAGACTCCAATAGTTCATTATATCTTCCTTCTCTTAGGAATTTTGTAAGACCTTATTTGAAGAGTCGATTTAGTACTAACAACTAAATAGGAAACTATATTTTACTACACCTATAGTTTTTAATTAATCCTACGATTTAAACAGGAGTTTGGGTTCGACCCAGTGCGCATTTGGCGACCGGTGGTGGAGAAGGACTTCGGCCAGGAGCGGTTCCTGGTGGAGCAGCCGCTGGACGCGGTCCGCGCGGGCCGCATGCACCCCGTACCGTACATCATCAGCCAAACGAGAGACGAGTTCTTCTGGATGGCATTTTGTTAGTATACGCTACATATACAAAAGCTTTTCGAATTATTTCTCTCTTTTGAGGAATAAATTTCCTTATAGATCCACTAAGGAACGATACTCTGCGGTCGAAATTCAACAATGAGTGGGAGACGGTCGCCCCCATTTCGTTCGTGCTGCCCCGGGACAACGTTAGTGCGCAGGTGACGCGACTGAGACAAGTGTACCTGGGGAACAGGCCACTGGCCAATGACGCAGAGAGTGCCAGCAGACTGGGGAAGCTGTACGCTGATGCTATTGTAGGCTTTCCAGTACACAGGTAAGTGGCTTATATTTTACACATTATTAATTATGTCAAAAGCGGTTTGATATTCGTTGGCGTTACTAACCTCTGTGTGTACAGACTCGCCAACCTGATGTGCCGGCACTCCCCCTATCCCGTGTACTACTACGAATTCGCGTACATCGGCAACCACAGCCACTACGAGGACCCCGTCACCAACAAGCCCACAGGTGAGCTTCTATTTGATGTAAAGTCCACTCCTACTTATTAAAATAGCAATGTGTTGTAAGGTATTATAATTTGCTTGTGTGATTGTTTCAGGCGCGGTGCACCACGATGATTTGATCTACCTGTTCTCGCTGCGCTACCGGTTCCCGGACGTGCCCGCCACCGGCCCGGACGCTGACCTAGTCGACAAGATGACTGCAATCTGGTACACATTCGCAAAGACAGGGTATGTACAACATGTCAAACAAATAAAACCATTAACATGAGATGTAATGAAACTGGTGCATTAACTGGGATTACTTTGTTATAGAGACCCGAACGCATACGGAGGTTTGGATCTGCCCGAGTTGAGCGGGCTGCACTGGCCCGCCATGACGCCTGACAAGCGCAACTACTTAGAAATCAACAAACAGTTGACAGTGAAGACGAATCTCAAAGAAGATCGCATCAAACTGTGGGAAGAATTGTTTCCGATTGAATATTAACAAAGCTTTTTGAATTATGTATCTTTATAAGAATTTTTAATATAACAATTATTGAAAATATTTCATGTGTACACTGTTTAATATAATCCCCTTGGCATTGCTAAAATCATACTTCGCTTCTTATTTTCCTGTGTTACTAAATTTAAATTGTCCAAAAAATGTGGAACGCTTCACGATTTTGCGTGTCATCCTTGCGCAGGGGCCATGCTAATCTTCTCTGTATCGTTCCAATTTTAGTATATGTACTGCCGAAGCAAGTACACTTACTCTACTTCTCCGAGCGTATATATGCAGACGGAACACAAAAACTTTGATAGCGTGTGTTAGACCACCTTACTTATCCATATCATAATGTGAGTAATGACGCGATACAAAAACTTTGTATATAGTTAATAAGTTTATAAGCTCGTAAAGAAATTAATTGCATTTTTCAGTTTTCTTTTTAATAATTTAGTAAAAAAAAATAATAAAAATCAGTTGTGTCGCACAAAAAGCGACATCTATGAAACAAGATGGCAAATTCAAAATTTAAAAAATAGTTTTCACTTGTAAGATTCTCTAACAAATTTTATAACCATAAAACTGTTTAATAATTTTAATACTACGATAAAGTAAATTTGAATACATCATAAAATAATGTTTTGTAGAATTTACCAAACTCTAAGAAACTTACGCCATCTGTTGGAATTTGTCGCAATCTATCTTTTGATGTGTTATTTCGGAAAGTATTTTTTTTAATTTATTTAAAATTATTTTTCAATATATTTATTTAACAAAAACCAACGTATGTAAGGTTATTCTTCCTTAAATATATCGCTTATTTTTTTCGAAATTCATACAACTAACCCATGTACTCACATGTTTAGGGTATTTACCTGTGGGAAGGTAAAATAAAACACTTGTTACATGAATGCAATATATTTATATTTACATAAGGCGTTTGGCCAAAGTCAGAATGTGTACATAAGATTACATTTCAATTCCAAATCTACAACAATACTTACACAACTACAAACTATCGGCTCGAGGCTCGCTGCCGCACGACACTGATCACTGACACATGTCATCTCATGTCATCTCACGTCACAGTACACTACCACTGTATCCGTATTCTGATACCTGACAGAAGACCAACCATTTACCAGAATACGTATACAGAATGCGCATAATAGGGATTTTACCTAAACACTATCATATTTAAGAAAATATATGTTTCAGTGTAGTTTCGTGTTCAATAGATGGCGCTAGCAGTTTATTAAATATCACTGGCACATGATAGCGCTGAGATATGTTTATGATTAAATATATGGAAGTCTTTTATGTTACGTAATGTCTTCATTTTAACTTAATTGTAAATTCAAAACAGTTTTTTTATTTAATTAATTGTAATGTACGGAATAGTATGAGAAATTATTTTTAATAGATTAGTACCTATTTTTAGTACTTTCTTTGATCTCAAGTGATTACTACTGTTCACAAATCGTCAAGTAGTTGTTTCGCATTTGATCTTCAACACATGACAGAGAAGAGACTCAGGAAGGGGAGAAATCAATATAGAAACTTGAGTGAAGTTTCCTAATTGCAAATAGCCCAATCATTTGTGTGTTACCACAATATATAAAAACAGGCAAAGTACAAATTATCCCTATAATGCTGAAGTCCGTGAGCAGCGATCCTCGCGCTACTTTGTACTCTATATACAAATATATATACTAGGCATACTTACCTGCGTGTACATTGTCACACAACATGTACAACATCACAACTAAGTACTAAACAAAATCCGGCTCGAGGGACCACACATCTCGTTATACAAATCATTCGACCAGCGAAAGTTAAATCTGTTACTTTGTATATAAAATAAATTGAGTATTGTTTAAGGCAGCGAAGTTGACACTTAGGGCTGATACAATTGTGATCAAAAAATTGAGACATTTCCAGTGAGTTTCTGAGACCAAATATTTATATAAATGTTATCATCTCAGAAATTTAGAGACATTAGAGTTATTAGTAAAATTTATGTCAAAAAAATTGACTACATTTGAGAGTAACAAATTAAGTTGTGACTTTACTATTCGAGTAAACTTGTTGGTTAAACTTAAGGTACATTTCCACTGATGTAAGAATTGTATAATACAAATACATATTCCCATCTTTATCATATTCTTTGATAAAACAGAAACAATAGCATATTTGGATATAAGTTAATATTCTTATAAATACAGTCAAACCTGGATAATCGAGAAACCTTTATAAGCGAGAAATTCCTACTCGGAGGGACTTCATGAGCGAGAAACCTTTACAAGCGAGAGAAATACACTGTCGGTTATACGGACTCTCGCTTATCCAGATTAGACTGTACTTTAAATATGTATATAGTATATAAAAAGATAGTTAAAAATACATATAGTAAACTCAAATCGTACATTGTTCATGTGAGTGTACAACACTCATTTCACTGGAATTACACATTTTAAATTATTAAATCAAATATATAAACACAAACATTATCTTTAAGAGAATGAGCACATACTTATTATGTATTATAAATAATCAAAAATATTTGAAAATGATAAGAGTTTGTCTTCAATTATCACAATAAAGTTAATTTAAATACAATTTAACATATCAATGTATATATATGTTATAATTTCAAAATAAACAAATTCATATAAAAAGTTTATATAATATAATAAAACTAAATCTGAAAAGTAAAACATTCCGTTACTCACAATATTATAAAATATCTTTTCGATCCAACAATAAAATTGACTAAACTGTCAACTGTCAGTTCCTACTTAAAATGGCGGCCATTTTTAAATTTCACTTTTACAGTAATTTTATTAAAAAATTGTTAGATAAAACAAAGTGATATTTAAAAAAAAAAATAGCTAATTTTATTAAAAGTAGTAAAAGTTATACGACAAATATTTTTTAATTAGTTCTATTTGGTTTGGAACAAAGTATTATGTTTTTGAAATGTAAGTCTAGATTTTAAAGCGTAACATACAATATGTTGACAACACATATATATATATATATATATGGAATGTTTCGCAATTCACAGAGTATTTATATTAAAAGTAACTATTAATATGTATAAATAATTATTCAAGTTATCTGAAAGATTACGAAAATACGAAGAAATGCAATAAAGTTTGAGAAAAAGAAATATTTTTTAAATTGCCTGACACACTTCTCTAACTTATACAGTCAAACCTGGATGATCTAGAACCGGATAAGTGTGAAACCTATAATAAGATAAAGTCCGGTCCCGAAGGACGACATCTATTATTGAGAAACTCGTAGATAGATACCTTTGTAAGCGAGAAAAATTTTGCAGTCCTTTGGATTTTCGTGTATCCATGTTCGACTGTACATATGTACATCTTTTCTTACATATTTATTCTTCATATACATAACACAAATAAATTTTGCTAGCTACAATTTTTATCACCGGATTGTAAAAAAAAAATTCGAAAATAAAAAAAAATACAAAGTATGTAAAAGTAAAATATCAATTAATATTGTTATAAAATAAATTTTGTAAAAGGAAAAATACAACTTTATGTTGATTATTTTCATTTCAGTCATAAAAAAATACCATAAGTTCAAAACTAAAGTCTACAAAATACTCATTTTAAAAAAATACATTTTTTTTTAAAATAATTGTGACATTTATATAATTATCACTGGTTGTTTACACTTAATATTATATGTTTTAAATAGAGATTCACGTATATAAGAGATTCTGTTTATACAATGTTCAAACCTAACACATTCAATGAGCCTAGTTTATTGAAAATAATATCTTTTTTTATAAAATAACTAAAAGATCTAGCCTGTAATTTTAATTCACCTTGTAAAAAAAAACCTTTAAAAAAATTAAAAATTTTAAAAATATAAAAATGATTTCTTCAAATATTTGTCATTAAACAGAGCATTTTTATTCGAGAGTATTTCCTAAAGTATTTAATATTTCTTTATATCATTTTCACTTAACATCTATCAGAGTTGAGAACTAATCAATATCCAATCACAAAACAATAATTCATTCGCTTTTAATAAATATTGCTATAGAAAAACTTGATATATTCAGAGGGCGATCCAATAATCTGTACTTACTTTAATACAAAGGATAGAATATTGATTTGTGCGCGTGTGAGTTGAGTCATCGCTAGCTGGCACACTTCGTCTTACCGTCTAGAAGTTTCCTCCAGAGGTCGAACTGCTCGTGGTAGCGCACCATGTGTATGGCGATGCCGCGCTGCACCGCGCACGGGTGCGGCGCCACCTTGCGGTTGTAGAACTCCGCGGAGTGCACGCGCGATATCTTCAGCCGCGCCGCCAGCACGCCCGTCACGAACACGTCCTCCAGCCGCAAGTACCGCTCGCCCCCCGCCGCACCCAGCAGCAGCCGCACCGCGTCCCCCGACACCAGGTACGCCGGACCCGTCGCGAAGTCGGGGAACACCTGCACACGTAACAACACAACAGCATAACTAACCATGGCCTACACGTCTGTTTCAGTTAATCATCTAATAGTCAACAAAATATATCAGTCACCTTGCCGGGGAACTGCAACGGTGACACATAGTACTTCGACTTGGTGGTGCGCTTCGGCAGCGACTTCTTGACCACCTTGCCCCAGATGGTCTTGGTTGCGTTGACCCTGTTGGGGGCGGTGGCGAACTTGAGCAGGCGCGGCACGTTGATGAACATGTCGTCGTCCGTCTTGAGTAATCGCGGCGCGCGCGGGCAGTACGTGTCCGCCCACTCTAGCATCGACAACGTCTTAAGAGTTAGATTCGAATAGGAGTCTATGGATCTGCCGACGATGAGGTCGCCATACAGCGAATCCTCGGCGTCTATGGCGGGTCGCAGCGAGGCGGGGGGCGCGCCCAGCACGAAGGCGAGGGCGACG